CCCGTCCCCAAAAGCAACCAGGCTTCGGCGTGGGGAGCATCCCCAAAGTTTCTTCCCAGTTCCCCAGGCCAGATACGGGGTCACGGCTGCCACCCACACACCAAGGCACACCCACCCACCTTTCACCCTGTCCTCATTAGCAAACCCTCCACCACTCCCTTCCTCCTTGTGCTGCCCTCACGCCCACCAGGAGGCTGCCAGGTGCCAGGCTGGCCGGAAAGCGGGTGGGCGCCCCGGCTGCTCCCCCTGCTCGGCAAACAGCACTGCCTGTACTTGGTGCAGCCCTGGTGGAGCCACCGGCCCAGCACCTCAGCCCCCTGGCTTGGCAGCGTCCCCTTTCTACCACCACCACCCTCACCCCCCACGCACCAGCAGTCAGCCCAGCTCTGGCTCTGCCGCTGGCACCCCCACACTGCGCCAGACTCTCCCATCGTTTCTGGGAGCCAGGAGCCAGCAGGGAGTGGGGATTCGGATCAGGCTGCTGCGACACCCATGCTCTGGGGCAGTCCAGGGGCAGCCCGCCCCCTCCCCTCCCTGAGCCTACTAGTACCCTCAGACCCTGGTCAAGAGATGGGCTTACCCCTGACCCCAGAGGATGCCAAAGACTGGGCTCCTGGCCAGCATGGGGCTCTTGGGCCTCGTTGGGGGAGGCCTCTCTGATGGCCACCCCCAGGCATGACATGCAACTGCAGGATTCACATGTGGCCCGTCCCAGACATGGCATGGCCGTGGGTGAGGGAATGAGGGGACATCTAGCACCCTGGGTCCCCGTCGGGCTGGGCTGTCTGCTGAGTTGGGAGTGGGGACGATGGAGAAGGGCCTTCTGCAGCCCCCTGACCCCCGCCCTCCGCCCTGCAGAGTTCAAGGAGGCCTTCTCCCTGTTCGACAAGGATGGCGATGGTACCATCACCACCAAGGAGCTGGGCACGGTGATGCGGTCGCTGGGGCAGAACCCCACGGAAGCCGAGCTGCAGGACATGATCAACGAGGTGGACGCTGATGGTGAGCGTGTAGGGCCTGCCTGGGGTCAGGGAGCAGGGCCCCGGCTGCGAGTGTGACCCCTGCCCCTCCCTGCGCCCCCCAGGGAATGGGACCATTGACTTCCCGGAGTTCCTGACGATGATGGCTCGAAAGATGAAGGACACGGACAGCGAGGAGGAGATCCGGGAGGCCTTCCGAGTCTTTGACAAGGTGAGGGCCCAAGGGGGCACGGCCCAGCCTGCTGGCGCCTCCCCAGGCGAGGCCACCAGCCCAGGTCGGGCGTGGGGCTTACCTCTACCTCTACCCTCACCCTCACCCCCGGCAGGATGGGAACGGGTACATCAGCGCCGCTGAACTGCGCCACGTCATGACGAACCTGGGCGAGAAGCTAACGGACGAGGAGGTGGACGAGATGATCAGGGAGGCCGACATAGACGGCGATGGCCAGGTCAATTACGAAGGTGAGGCCCCAGGGCCACCGAGGGTCCTGGAGGGGCCCGGGCAGCCCCGTCCCGCCCCACCCTGACTGGCCCGCCCCTTGTCCCTCTGTCTGCAGAGTTCGTACAGATGATGACTGCAAAGTGAAGGCCAGGCAGCTGGCAATGCCCCTTCTCTCAATCTCTCTCCTCGCGGCGCGCCCTCTCTCTTCAACACTCCCCCCCGAGTACCCAGTTCCAGATACCACCAAGGGACTGACTGAGCGTCTGATACAGCAACAGAAGATGTGTCCCAGCTGCATGACTGCTCTTTCTCCCCCTCCTCTGTGCCCCCCCCCCAACTGCCTTTTGCTCTCCTTTGCTCCTGGCCCCTCCCCCAGCCTGCCAATCCCACGCCCCAACCCCGCCCCACCCTGTTAGGGAGCCCCTGCCCTCCTCCCCAGGCGGCCCCTCCGCCCGTTCAGTTTGTCTCCTTTGCACTTGTCACCTTCTGGATGCTGGGCTGGTGACCACCCCAGTCCTGGGGACTACTGGGGAGGGGCAGGGCCCCTGCTGCTGGCACCCCCCCAGCCTGGGAAGCCCATGGGCAAAGCCGAGCAGCCTCCTGGGCCAGGGGCACCCCCAGAAAGGCAATGGAGGACAGAGGGTGGAGCAAGGGGACCGGGGAGGCCATGTCGGCTGGACGTGGCCCAGGAGGGGTCGCATGGCAGGTGTCGGGGGCCGGTGTCCAAAACCGGTGTTGGCTCCCATTAAGGGGCTGCTCCGAGACGGGGCTCCCACGCAGCATGAGCAGCGCAGACCCTGTTCAGCCCCCACAGCCCAGCTAGGATTTGCCCTCGGTGGCCAAGCTGAGGGGTGGCTGGGCCCAAGTCCCTAAGCAGGCTGGAGCTCTTGTGTAAATACCTGGTGCTAACGACCTGTCCCCACCCCACCCCCAGTCCTGCACTCTCCAACCTGCCTGGGGTCCCACTGTCTACAGAGATGTGGGGCTGGATGGTCTGTAAGGGGCCGGCATGCCTTTCACCACCACCCCTCCTTTAATGCCCCTGCAAACTGTTTTCATTTGTCCTAAACCATTCGGGCTAGCCAAGAGGTGGGGGGAGGGCAAGCAATGCCCTCCCCCCTCCCCCAAGCTTCCAGAGAAGGGACCTTTAATAAGGACAGGACATCCGGGCGGCAGTCTCTGCCCCGGGCCTGTGGGCACCTCCTGCTTCACCCTGGTGACCCAGCGGCCCTGTCCCATCTGTGCCCTCCTCTCCCTGGCCCACCTGCCTGCCCCCTCCACCCCCACCCCACCCCACCCCCAGCGGAGAGCATGATCCGTGACCTTGCTTCTGACTTTCGCCTCTGGGACAAGTAAGTCAGTGTGGCAGTTCAGTCTGGTGGTTTCTGTTTTCTTGAGGTTTTTCTCTTCCTTTGTTTTTTTACTTCTTTGCCTTCGGTTCATTTCATCGCTCCACCCCACCCCATGCCCTCCACCCCCACTGCCCAGTTCAATCAAGTGGCTTTTCCTGGGACCTGCTCAGCTTTTCAAATCCCCTCCTCCACCCCATTGGCCTTCGGCCTCCAAGGGAGGGGCAGGAGGGGCCCTAGTGGGAGACCAGTCTTGTGCTGTGGACAGGGGCAGGTAGGCGGGAGGCTATGGATGTTTCTGGTGTTTGGGGGTTGTTTTTCTTGATTTTGTTTTGGGTTTTTTTTTTTAACCGGGCAATATTGTGTTCAGTTCAAGCTGTGAAGAAAAAGATAATATCAATGTTTTCCAATAAAATACAGTGACTACCTGACTTGGCTCCGCCCCTCTTGTCTGGGGTGGGTCAGACACTGGTTCCTGGAAGGCAGCCCTCTCCTCTCCTGCTCTGAATGCAAAGGCTGCCCTGGACAGGGTACTTCCTGCCTGGTGGTGGTCATGGGCTGGGGGGCACTCCTTCCAGGGAGTGCATGGGGAGAAGACTGGAGGCCCAGTAGGCCTGCAGCCCAAGAGCGGGGCTGGCTCCAGTCAGGAAGGGACGGGACTGAGTGGAAGGCGGGGAGCAGTCATGGTGTGGGGTGGGAGCAGCAGAGAACATGGCATCCTGGGAGGCCCCAACAGGCTCCTTCGAGCAAGGGGGTGGCGTTCGCTGACGCAAAATCAGCCCTTGACCAGTGTCGTTGGTACAGACTCCGCCGTGGAATCAGTCCTGACCCATGGCAACCCTCACACCAAGGGTGATGTCCTTCAGGGACTGTCTCTCCCGATAACCTGACCAAAGTGAAGTGAGACAGAGTCTTGCCATCATTTCTAAGGAACATTCCAGATGGATTCGTGTGTCCTTCTGGCAGCCCGTGGTACTTCCAGTATTCTTTGCCAGCACTCTTAGGGACCCTGTAGGACAGAGTAGACTGAGCTGCCCCAGAGGGTGGGTACCCGGGCTGTAGTAAGGAAGGACAGGGAATCGCTGCATTGACGGCGTTGGTGAGGAAGATTATTGAACACATCTTATGTGGACTGCAGGAGAATGGCTTGAAGTATAGCTAGAATGTTCGCTGGAAGCCAGGATGGTGAGATTCGCTCTGATGTACTCTGGATGGTATCAGGAGGGAGTCGCCCAGTCCTGGGGAAAGGATTTTGTGCTCCGTAAAGTAAAGGGTCAGCAGTGGGCGAAAACACAAGCTTCACTATGAGGAAGAGGCCGGACTGGCAGTGTTGCATGCAGCTGCGAGGAGTCAGAGCCAGCGCAACGGCCCCTGGTGAGAACCTGCAGCCACGTCTTTCTGCCTCCCCTCCGTCGGGTTGGAAGAACCAGGAGAGCGCTTAACGTCTGTGCCACCAGGGCTCCTCGGCATCTGGTGGCCTGGATGGTCCCTGGGCTTCCCCCTCTCCCATCCCCCCACCTCCGCGGAAAACCGGTGCCTACTCGGAACTCCCACACGAAATGTGTTTGGAGAACTGAAACAACCCAAGACCCGAGCCGGCCCACTGCCATCCGGTCAATTCTGGACCAGTGGAGCCTGGAAGACAAGAGAACCGCCCCCGGGGGTGTCTGGGGCCCTCCTTTCTTCACCAGAGTGGCAAACCACGGATCGGTAAGGGGAATGGGAAGGCAGGCCCCCCGCCCAGGTGTGCTGCCACGGAGGGCTGTCTCAGATGCTCTGCCCACCTCAGACAGGTGGGGAATGAGGGATTAACCTTTGAGCCTCTCACGGGCCCAGGGCTGCTCAAGAGGCCAGAGAGACTCACCAAAGAATGCCACGATGCCCAATGCCAACTTCCTTCACTCGCCTGGCCTTGAACTCCGAAGCATAGAGAAACCCAGCTGGCCAGGGCTCTGTGGGGCGGGGCCTGGGGTCGTGGGCGGGCTA